TGAAGATTTTCATATTTTCTATTATTTTTAAAAGATTCGTTAATTACGGAATTATTGAAAATAATTGTAACAATATATATATTCTAATTGTAATTATCACTATAATAAATATAACTGATAATTTTTACAGTAAATTTATAATGTTGCATTATTCTATTTTCAAAAATAAATTCATAATTCATTAATAATAAGCATTTCTTGTTCTGTCACAAAAAGAAAAATTGTTAAATAAAAATTAATTATTAATCATGTTTATTATGATAAAGAAAAAAATAATACATATACATTCTATTAATTCACTTTTTCTAAATCTTCTTCTCCAATTGTCTGAATTGAGTATCCTAGTCATGGCAAAAAAAAGTGTTCAGATCATGTAATATTCGGATATATACAGAAAAATTCTATGATAACAGAGATTATTGTCAAAGGTTAATTTAATATTAGAGTTAGAGGCAGGTCTGTAGTCAATATTATATATAAAATTGCCTTTTCGACATTTTTGATTAGTCTATAAAGCTAGATTTAGGCATTTGTTTCTCGTATTTTTTTACTTTTTCATTTTCTTGTGTCGGATTTGTTTTCAAAAATTTATTGGTTTGTGTCATCAGCAGATCAAAAAATTCACGATTCTTATTGGTTAACACGTGATCTGAACACTTTTTCGTCATGGCTAGAATATTCGTTTGGGTAGGGTTATATATGTAACAAAGTTATCATATATATCAAAATTTAGCAACATTTTTGTTAGAATACACAAAAGATAGTTTCATAGGCAAAACTTCGAGATACAAGCTATTTTTCAAAAATAATCTCTTGAATTTCGTGTTTTGAATTTTTGAGTTACACAATGATAAATATTAGTACAATCAACTCTCTCTATTGTCAACATGATGGAACCAAGAATTTTTGTTAATATATATAAGAGGGTTGATAACTCAGAGGTTAGAGTTAGTATCAATATATTAGTCCAAGTGAAATTTATTCTGCAACAAATGTTGATAATAAAGAGATATTGATATTAAAGAGATTGATAATAGAGAGGTTTAGATGACCTACATGTAACATATTCTTTTATTTTGTGTTTCGGAGGAGAAAAGCAACAAATACGAGAAGAATGAAATCAAACTTCAACAGCAGCAGCAGCAACTTAATAATAATAACTTGAGAGCGTGGAGGAAAGAATACTAGGGTAAAGTCAGATGGTACGTTAATATCTTCCCGGTTTTTTGTCTCTGAGGGTGCGTGTGGGGTTTAAACACTTGCATGATATAATTATTTGACACATACTAACAAGTCTTGCTCATTAAAAGACAATTAATCTCATAGTACACAATTATGTAGAAGGCTTCAGTTATTTCATGGTAATTAAAAAACTAACACCTTTGAAAAGTCTAAATCTATTTTTGTTGGTGCCGTCGCAAATTTCCACTGGTATCCGGTTTGGTCTCGCACCCATGTGATCGATATCATGTGATTACGGGACCGATAACGTGGGTATTAAGGATTTTCGGTAGGATAGATATTGAAAGGAACAACATTAAGTACATGTATTACGTAATTAGATAGAAGTACATGTAATTCAAGTCAGATAATTAATTAATATTAATTAACAAAAGAGTTATTATTACATCTCTTACCCCTTTGTGATCCGTTGTACCGTAGTCTTAACTAGTAACATGGTAATAATATACTTATTCGCTATTGATAAATTCAGTATCTATTTAATTTGTATATCGGCTTTAGCAATTATCTTATATTAATATTTTTATTGGCTATTCAATTTTGGTCACATGAGTACAATCAGGATCGGATTCTATATTTTTCTAAAAAGGAAATATAATAAGTGGTGCGTGAAATTGTAGAAAAACTAGAGGATATAGATTAGCAATATGCTCCAGACTCTTTGATTGAATTGGACGGTGATATATATTCCTTCGTATAAGTATTCTAAAAAATTTATTAATAGTTTCGTGAATATAACTTGCAAGTAACTCAGATTTGCAGAAGAAAATACCTGAATGCTGGAATTGAACCAGGTTTATGGTTTTTATTTTAATGATTTTCAGCGTGTATGAAAATCTATTTAATATTGGCTTCTATTTTCTCTATCATATAGGTACAGCCGTTGGTGTCGGGGCACAATCAATCGGAGAACCAGGCATGCAAATGACCTTCTATTTTGCTGGTGTGGCGTCTGCAAATAAAACTCTTGAAGTTCAGCATATCAAGAAAATCATAAATGCATTAAAGACTATAAGCACACCAATTATCACTTGTAAGCTTGTTTCTAATATGAATTTGAACAATCAAAACTCGTCTCGAGAAATGCAAGCAGTTATTTTTTACTTTCCTGCAAAGGTTGACTCTTAAAATAAATTATAGATTGTCAAGTCTATTTGAGAAGTTTTAAATATGATGATTGCTTTCTAAGAATTATTTTGGACTTGAAAGCTATTCCAAAACTACAGGTAAAAAGATATAGAACTGTTTATTATAATTAGAGATTTATATTGAATTGATAAATATGTTCTAATCATTTTAGTTGGAAATTGGCGACGCGTAAATTAAACTCAAATGTAAGCAATTTAATACTTGAACTTCTCGTTGTTCAGAAAATGTAATTTTTTTTGAATTTTTAGCCCTTTTTTATACTTATTTCGTATCTCACTTTTCTTACTACTCCGTTGACGTTGTTCCATTAGGATCAAGTATTGGTGTTGGACTCAATTAATGATAACCAAACTTTAAAGCAAATAATATATTTTTTGTTATGATAACAATATATTTGTGCTGGATTTGATCTTTTCATGTTGAAAACTAGTATAGAAAAGAAGGTTCTGTACTAAAACTATTAAGATATCAAGTCAACACCAGCAATATTTTCGGCAAAAGGTTCGATCACGCGTTCCTTCACCCCTGTTTCTTTTCACAATTACAATCATCGCATCATCTTCGAAATTACATCACTAATCATAGATAATCGGATTGAGCCTTGTGTGGATGAAGTGTCTGTTAGCAATTCGTGTTCTATCATTTTCCTGACCTCTTCAACCTCCGAGCCATTAACATCAGTATCACCATTATCAAAATCGCTACTTTGATTATTATTGGAGGAATCACCTTCTTTTAGAAGATATCTACCGTCAAGAATATCTCACCTAGCCAACCAACCTTCCAGAATATTAGCATCCTGAAACTGTGCATGCAAGAATGTTTTGTATGCCGCATGGTAGTCGTTTTTATTGAAGAGATGATAATAGTCAGCGAGATGATGTATTTTTGCTAGGTAAGTTGGTGTTAATATTGATTTTGGGTCGATAGGAATTCTTCGAAAATAGATGATGAGGAAGATGGTGATGAGAGAAAAATCCGAAAATATGTTATCATTTGAGCAATTAAGATTATTCTGTAGAATTTTTTGGTTAAATGATTCATAATATTTCAAAATACGTATATTATATAAAGTGATGGTTTCAAGTTTTTGAAGATGAAGTTCTTCAAAAGAAAATTAAAAGTCAGTATATCTTGTGCTTAAACAAAGAATCCCAAAAACAAAGAGAAGCCAAAACCTTTAAGAATTCCAGGTCGCGCCCACCACCATTTTAACGCCTAGTCGATCAAATTTCCATATATTCTTGGAGCGAATTTCTGTTTTGTTTGTTGTAATCGCGTGCTTGTTCAATAAGTTTCAAGCCTCGTCTGTATGCTTCTAATGCTTTTGGGTAATCACCTTAATAAAATACAAAAAATTATCCTTATGTCCCAAAAACAATCACAGTAACGGATCTAATCTAAATAACCCGGTAGATAATGCGACATCCCAGGTCTGAATTAAGAGACCTTGTGAAGAAAAGAACAGTATAAACTAGACTCAACGGCTAGACCGACCTGAAGCCCTTGATTACCTATCGGTCTATCAGGTCGTGATCATAATATTATGTATTAGACTGAAAAGTTAAACCTTACCTATTAACTAGAATGACCAGTAAATATAACATCATGTGGGATTTTACTTTTCTTCAAAATGATATAGAACTATAACACATTTAGGAACAACAAAAATTAAATTAATTCAATAGAGAAATAAAAATTGGAAACTTACGCATGCCAAGCTAAACCCATTCCAATCATTGATTTTACAAGAGTCCATTGTGCTCACAGTAGCATTGCATTATTTATTGAAATCTTTCTTTTTTAGGGAAAAAAGGAAATATTTAATTTATATCCTTAATTATAATTTAAAGAATCAATCAAAGTAAATAAACAAACCATTGCTTTTTCCCATTCCCCATTCAACCATTGGGCATCTCCCGCCAAAATATGTACCAGCCATTCAAACGGTGGCGACATTGCTTTATGTAAAGTGGACACTTTCGGTAAGGTTAAAAAAGAATCATCAATAATAGTAACTTTGTCGTGTATGATTCAGCTGCTATGTTAATTGCATTATCGTACGAGTGTTTATTAGAATGTATACCTTATAAATAAAAAATATACTATAAAATTCGCACGCATTGGAAGAAATTAAATGCGGAAAATTACAATTTAATCCGTAATTGTTCATGACGATTGTGTGTATTGGCAACACTGATGGAAAGAGCTTTATTAGAGAATGTTAATTTCTTTATGAGAAATCTACTTTTATCTAATACGTACGTAGTGTATTTGGACGCATTATTTAACACTTCCATTAAAACAGTAAAAAACCGGTTAACGTTAACGTTAAACTCTAAATGGAAATACGGTAAGGGTTTCTTATCTTATCAATCAATCTAATTCAATGTTCATGTCGATGAACATGTATTAACGTTAATACATGTACATATACGTAGTACTCTACATAATTAGTAAAGCTCCGATACGTGTGCAACCGTGCGACTAATCAAACGATGTGTTATGCATCTGTGCTGGTTATTTTCAGTATAACGCAGAAACACTGGGATTTATTATTGTTATAAATTTTTTTTTGAACATTTAAATTTTTATTATTTATTTTAGTTAAATAATGGCGTCCAGACTCCCAGCAACTTGTTTTCCAGAAATCCTTGAATACCTTGATTTCGACCGAAATTGTATCTTTTCCTGTATGCTAGTAAATCGACATTGGTGTGAAAATTCAATTCCGTATTTATGGCGAAATCCTTTTTCATCAACAAGAATATCGTTTTCATCATTGTCATCATTATCAATGTCTTCTACCACAAAAAAGAATATGATCAACATAATCAACATAATCAACACGTTGGTCAACTGTCTTTCTGAGCAAGATAGGATGAAACTTCGCGTTAACAACAATTTCAATCTCAACAAAAATATTACGAAAAAATCAAGCTTTGACTATACGTCATTTCTAAGATGCTTGGATTTACAGATCTTCGCAAAGGCGTTAAGTTATTCATTTGGAGGTGGTGATATGACAACAATATTCAAATGTTTGCATTTACTTGCGAGAAAAATCATCAATGATAGTGATGCAATTATATGGGATTTAAAGCTTGATATTATTCCTTCTTTGGTGATCAATGATAGTGATGCAATTATATGGGATTTGAAGCTTGATATTATTCCTTCTTTGGTAAATACAACTCGTACACAAAATCCATTTTTCATTTCTCGCGCGATGAAAGCTTACTCGTTATTAATGGGCGATGATATCAACTGGAATCTATTTAAACTTCCTGGCGCAGCGAGATCTTTAGCTGGTCTCCGTAAATTAACCTTGAAGGCTGGATGCTTGGAAGAAACTTTTCCATTGGCAAAAAGAATTTCACCAAGTATAAACGAATTAATCATCGTTTTACACTCCCCTAAGGATAGGAAAACTTCATATGACCAAGTGAATAAGCTGGTTCCCTATTTACCGATTCTAAGTTCTTGGCGTCAGTTGAAGACACTTGCGATAGCGCGAGGATATGATCATCAATTGTTAATGCCGGCAGAAAAATTCTTGGATTCTCTTGGAACATACTTACCATTCACCGTCGAAAATCTTACAGTCAATGGCGCGTTGAAGTTCTCACCTGAATCACTTGAAATGTTCTTTGCATTATTGATGACTAAACCAACACCAACAACACTAAATACATTGGCATTTCCCGAAATGAAATTTTTCGATGACAAACATCTTCTTGTTGTCGGAGCAGCTGCAAAAGGAGGAACGTTAAAGAAATTGGATATTTCTTCGGCCAGGCATATCACCTCGAATACATTAAAAGAGATGAGAATCTACGTCGATACCATTCTGGTGGATTGTTGTTTGGATGTTTGGCAGGAACGAATGTTGGCGAGACGATATAGAAATGATAATTATGATGACAGTGATGATGATATTTTTAGTTCGGCAATTGATTATTTTGTTAATGGGAAACCTTTTAAATAAATGGATATATCGATAGATTCATATTATGCTAAAGCGATTATACACGTGATATAAGACAATAACGATAACGATAATAGTACGTAGCGATAGTACATGTAGATCGATAGAATGCCTAAATTTTATAAAAAAAATGAAATTATCTCTTTATTTATTTTAGATTTAAATAAAGACAAAACCTATCATCTAACATATAAACTGAAAAAATTTCTTATCGCAAAGTGAGTCGAAATATTTTTTGTGAGTTTAAATCTAAAAAATACATGTTAGAAGATAGGATAAAAAATAAATAATAGTTATATTTTTTTATGTTTTATTATCTCTTTCAGAAGCTCATGTATCGATTCCTGAGTAAAGTATTGCTCATCCGATTTTTTTACAAATAAGCATAATTTGTTGATCCCATTCAATTGTAGATCCGTTGGAAAATGGTATATAAGGAGTGCCAGTTGGCGTGTCGCCCAGATATCGTTTTGTAGTTTTTGTTGTTTCAATCCACCCAACCGATAGATCCACTGGAAATACCTGGAACTGGAATTAAACGGTTAGTAGTAATTAATGGAAATTAATGAGTAATACGAATAATAGTATGCGAGTTAGTCGGTAAATAGTAGCTAATGCTAGTGTCATATCTGTTCATTGGTTAATGTCTAATCCATGTACACGTCATAGATGTCGAGTGGTCAATCCAGTCAGTCCAATCCACAGTCTGGTAATGATATTGTTATTGGTAGATATCGTCCGACTTATCGTCCAGATATTCGTGATATGTATCATATATTTAATAGCTCGGAATTACATCGTAATAGTAGTAATCTAGATAACCCAAATAGTCAAGTCGATAAATATATAGAATATAAATACTCTCATCGTCGTTCGAGATATATATCATTTAATCCATCTGCTCTGGTAAATCGTGTATATAGTCGTATTGTAGGTTCACTCGTAGACACTTCAGATCCATCAGTGCCTACATTACGTAGTAACTCCATTCAACGTATCGTATACAAATTGTAACAAAGGAATTACACGTATTGCAATGTGTGAATCGACCGTCGATTCAGACTCATCTCTGGAGACCCGAGTATGCGCTGGCATGTGAAACAACATCCGAACACCGTTTTACATGAGAGTGCATGCGACAGACTCTGGCAACTGGAACTGTTGCGAGTCGAGGTGATGAGTATGTATCAGCTTTCGTGTTAGAGTGGAAACTAGGACAGCCGAGGGGAATTGGGGGAAACATTCCACCGAGAGGGGAATTGGGGAACCGTCCCCACCCACGCCATTCCAATCCATGTGAGATAGAGCTACAGATCGGTACATCGAACAGTGTGTTTGCTGATAGATAAAGGTATCAGCTGAGAGTCAGGGGTAAACTCGTGCCAATTTGTGAGTGTAGATCTTGATACAGCTCATGTGTCAGGGGTAAATGTAGCCAATAGATGATCTATGCACTTTTTCTATAGATTATCGATCGTCAGATCAGTGACAATATAATATTGCATAGAAAAAGTAAAGATCCTGCCATCTCCAAATACAGGTGATTGCACTTATAAAACAATTAGTGGATCTGTAAAAGACAGGTGAAAAATATGCGAGGGAGATTCTGCCACTAGTGTAGATGATCCTGTCACTATATAAATTGTTGATCCCATTCAATTGTAGATCTAGCTGATGAAATGTGAAAACTATATATATATATAAATGCTCTCAGATAAGGGTTTGCTATCTGTTATTTTTTGAATTTTTGTAATTTTTGCTCATTTTTCATTGTTCACTGCTGCTCTAAATAAATGGCTAATTTGTATGCATAAATGTTATGCTAGTAATTATAGATCTAAAAAGCAAGTTTATAGGCATATATTTAGAAAAATATATAGTATCAGATTTAGATTTAATCATAGTTATAAGTATAAGTATAGAAACAAATTTTAATGTAGACCTGGTGAGGATATATAAACTAATATGATCTGATTGAATGTCAATATTAATACTCAAGGTGTCTCACTAGCTAATATAAATGTACTGGACTATACTCACAGTGATATGCTAACTAAGGCTAGATCTATATATGGAGAATATCATATTATTAAATGCTATATATACTATCACCTGAACTCAACTGTCAGACATGTTACTAAAATATCTAACACTAAAGAGAAAATTCGTAGATTTAAAATTGCATATACTGGTCAATATCTTGAACTCAATAAGGTACAGTCAAATTTTTCTATAGTCATCACCCTTGAAAAAGCAAAATTTGATAATTATAGAGGAAATGTGACTATAGAAAGATTTTTTTACTATATTTATATATAAATAGGAAAGCAAAATAGAGTGATTATAAAGAGATATGACTATAAATGAGTGTGACTATAAAGAAATTTGACTGTATTTATATATGAAAAGATATTTAGAATTGTTAATATCTATAAGAAGCACAAATCATACTGGACTTCATCTACATATGATGACAAAAATACATCTAAACTGATACTGACTATAATGAGAAATATATATTATACTACCTATATAGTAAAATTAACTTTTAACCTACTAGTAATAACGTGATTATTAATCATATTTGTATATTTTAAATGTATGTATTCTGATACAAGTTACTATCTAATATACTTATTCTTATAGCTAATCTTGATTTTGATCTATCTAAATTTAAAATGGAATATGAGTCTAGAGATAAAATGATTAGTGAAAAGAAAATAAAGTCTGATACTAAATCTAATTGGTATACTAAGTGTTACAACAATCTGCTAAAAGATTTTAAAGAACTCAAAGCTAAATTTGATAACATATCTATAGATAATACAAATATATTAGTTAGTAGTTTAGCTTCTTATACTGAAGATAGTGAACAAGAGGTTATAGATGAATAAATAAGTCTTGTCTGAATTTAATACCTTAAATATTATGTAAAATGTAGAAAGTTGATAACTATCCCTCTTCTCTGTGCTTTATCTCCAAATGTTATCAGATAATATAAATAATATTATTCTTTTAGTGCTTGAGAGAATTGTTGTAATGCATATGTTAATACAGTGAATAGAGTCATAGGTACTTCAAATCTGTTAGTGTTTATATTATCTTGTAACTCTATTTAACATATATATTACAAATTATAATAAAAGAATTATATGTATTAGATATAAGTATTGCAATGAAATAGTGACATATTATTATGATATCTATATCCAATTGATATAGAATATGAATCAAGTAGTAAAATCTAATTAATAGTTAATAGTTACCAGGTAATTGCTAGTCGATGGATATCTGATGATGTAGTTGTCTATTCAAACACCAAAATAGTGGACTAGTAAAACTGATAAGACAGATATCTATAAAATAAACAATGAGTATTTGTTGAATCTGGATTGAGATCTGTATTAGCTAGTATATTAGTCAATAAATAGTTTATGCACTTTTTTTATAGATCAATAATTATCAGATCAGTGATAATATAGAAAAAGTGAAGATCTTATCACCTCCAAATGTGGGTGGTTGCACTTATAAAACAATTAATAGATCTGCAAAAGATAGATGAAAAATATGCAAGAGAGATCCTGTCACTATATAAATTGTTGATTCCATTCAATTGTAGATCTAGCTATCAGATGTGAGTGAGATAGTATAACTCAGTGCCAATAGTCTATAAATGGAGATACAGTCCATCATGAGAACACGCTCTGTGATTGGTTCTCATAGCAGTATTAGAGCCACAAATAGATGATATATCTGTTAATTAATAGATATTTCTGTCAGGTAATTTAGCTATATAAGCAGTCACTGTCTAATGTGATTTTTGATATCTGAAATCTAGTTTATGCACTAGTAAACAGTAAGAAATCATATCTATCAATAATTAGCTACTACTAGTGAGTAAGAAATCCTATTGAATGTCAATAATTCAACTTATTGGTTAGTAGTAACTGTTAACCTGTACTAATACTTGGTTATCATTGTTGCTATTTTTATAAAGAGAGTGACTGTATACGAAATAGCAAAAACTCAAAATCAAAGTAATTTCATAAAGTGATTTTTGATGCATGGATAACATGCCAAAACATACTCTCGTATGGTGTCATAATTGTAAATGACAAAAAAAAACATTAATTCAATAGTGTTGATAAAAATAGCTTGTGAATAAATGCAAAAATCTTTTATTTGTCAATAACACATTATTTGATATAAAAAAATTTTGACAGCTGCACTCTCGATAAGATGATACCAAATAAATTTATATCCTCAGCTGATCATTCAGAAATTTCAAAATTTTGAGGTGCAGTATGTCAATAAATAGAAATGCACAAAGCAATTTATCATAGATACGAAGAGTTTTTAACAAAACGATAAAAAGTCTTTGACATGTGAAAAAAGCCGAACCCTGTAAAAAAAAATAAAAGACAAAAATCAGGAAAAAATCCAGTTTTTTAGTTCCGGAAAATCACAGGTTTTGTTAAC